TATTGGAGATTCCTTTCCTCTCCCTGCCCCTTCGCCCCTCTCCCTCCCAGAGGTGTGCTGCAAGAAGGAAGAAAGATTGGAATTAATATTTCTGTTATTTTCAGATGTCATAAGTTAGATATCACCGGGGATGCAAATATTCTAGACGTGTCTTTTTGGATGGTGAACAGAAGCATCTCCCTCGCCCTGTGGACAGCATTTGCTGGCAAGCTGTACTGAATCCTTGCTGTCCTGCCACAAAACTGGTGGTACACAGGGGTGCAGAGGCTCTCAGGTGCTGGCCACCAATCCAGTTTCTGGGGTTCAGTAGGAACTGTTCTGGAGGCTTCGGGGCACCGCTGCAAGGTTATTTGGTTTCGGTGTTGCTGTTATGCCTGTAAATAAGGAGCAGTCATGGTTCCAGGTAGAGAAGCTGAGCAGTCGCAACATGAAGACCCTTGCTTTCCCATTGAGGCTCCTAGATTACACATCAGTGCAACCTTAAACACAGGACCTCATTCACGTAACGCCACGATCTCCATGGTGCACTTGCATTTACAGGCTGAATTGCATCTTTTCGCTACATACATCTTGTCTTTATCGGGCTCATCCTGCAGTTTTGGTTCCAAAAATAGACGCTGTGCATGAATATGTACACACATGCGCTTTTCAGCTCTGTTACTCCTTTGTAGATGACCTCCTTTGCAGCAGCGATGAGCATCATGTAAGAATATTACTCATTCCTCTTGATGCACTCATAAAGCCATAAGCAGGGAGAGGCATGTGAGTCTTATATTTGGTCTCAAAGCATTGGCTGTAAATGTGTCCGGGTTAGAAAGACACCTTGATTGCTCAGGACGAGAGGACCTGTGAAGAGTGTCTGTGGTTGCTTGGGCTTCTGTTTCAATACCTAGATATTCAGGTCATGCCAAGCATAATTTAGCAGTCACTGCAGAAATAGTGATGTTCCGACATTCAGAGGAGCCACACAAACGCCGCTGACTTGAAATGAATTTAATGGAAGTGGGAAAAGGCATGCATGTCCTAGACATCCCACACCTTCAGCTGTGCTGGAAAAAACCAGAGCCCATACTTGGATCCTCCAGAGAAACACATCGCATGAATGGGGAAGGATCAGGATTAATATTTCTGCTACGTTCAGATGCCGACAGTAAGGCACGAGGGGCGCAAACACTGTGCGGTGATGCACAGAAGCACCCTGCCAGGATGCAGGGACTGGAGTCTCCTGCTGTATCCTGCAGCGTTAAAACCTTCGTTAATAACTCTGTATTTCATAACTATTTATCCTTGACCTGCCTGCGAAAAGAATGAGACGCTTGGTTTCACATGCGGCGTCTGGCAGAACCGTGTATTTTACAGCAGGGGCTCCGTGTTAACCAGCGGAGTTGGGTGGCTGGTGGAAGCCCTCCTGGTCCCCCGTGCTGCAGAGGCTTTGAAAGAGTCAACGGGATTTTTTTTTTGGCGGGTGCATCCGAGCTGCCAACGCGTTCTCTTGTCAGTGACACAGGGAATTTCTAGAAATTATGAGAAGGAATTCCAAGTCTCTGCCATTATAATTTAGTTAACGCGTCATTATTTAGCCTAGGAAAATACGGAACAGAGTTAATTCAGAAGTACAGTTCTTAATTGCTGTCAGTAACATCTGGAAGATATTTGGTATCTGTAAAACGTAACTCCAGGTCTTGCAGGGTTATTCCTTGTGCAGTGCTCATCATTTGATAAAACTCTGGAAACTGCTGTACACAGATAGACTTTAAACAACACCTGGGGGGTGAGGACAGATTTTTTCATGCTATGTCCACACTAAACTTCTTTGGCAGCAGATGGAAGAAGATGTCTTCGCTCTTACGTACCGAGACTCCTGGCAATCCTTAGTGCCGAGTGTCTACACCAGAAAATCAGGTTAGCTGATTGCCACTCTGCTAATGTAGGTACAGATCCGTGCTGTCGTCTTCTCCGTCTGCTGTGGTTGCAGGCTTTAAGGTTTGGAAACACAATTACAGTGTAACTGATGTTAAGGCAAAGTTTTCGGGAAGCCTGAGGTTTAGAAACACCAACTCCTTTTCTGGGGATGCTGAGTCAAATGCCAGTGGTGCTTTAAAATGTCAGTTTGTGAACTTATCCAGTGCTTATTGAAGCTGTAAGAAAAGGGAGAAGTCTCAGGTGGTCTGGCCTTTAAGTATAAGGGCTGTAATTTTAGCAGACGAGTTGGAGAGAAACCTGTAGATTCCTCCAGCTGGGATTGTGGCTGTGGGACTGCAGGGCAGGTCTCTGTAGTGGTTTTCTAGTGTCTTCTCCAAGTGTTCAGGCTGTTGCCTCTTGCACTTTCCCGTGAGCTTAATCAGTTTTACCTGTCCTCTGGCTTGTTTTCGTGTGCGTGTCTGTCGAGCGTGGCTGGGGATGGTGCCTCCAGAGGATTTCTCTTCTGCACCTTTGCTGGCGATGGCCAGACCCGACCCTCTGGCTCTGGCCTTTCACGCACGCGTAGGCTCTCTCTCCTCTACTTCTCCACACCCCCCTCACCACGGTTTATTTCTAGATTTTGCTTGGATTTCCCTTTGTATACGTTCTGTCTGTCTTTTGGCTGTTAAGTTCTCACAGTCTCCTGCCACCCCTTTTTTGTGGCCGCACGTCAGCCCAGAGCACCCAGTGGGCTCTGAGGTCACGTTTCTTTACAAGCCTGCTCGCCTCAGGTCAGTGACGTGGCACAGCAACGCCACGGCGTCTCTCAGGAAGGCTGCGTATGTGGCTGTGCCGTGCAGCCCCGCGATCTTCTGCTTCTTCAACACTAATGCAACAAAAAGTGCAACAAAGCAGCTTCCCTTTGTGGTCAGGGAGTGCACCAAACCCTGTATTATTCAGTCGTCGTGACTTTATGCTGTGAAAAGCATGGTGTAAGCTACCCCAGGCTTCCTTCCTATTCATCTTTGAATTAGACTAGCTGGTATTCTCGAACAGGGTAGCTGGTATTCTTCAGCAAGGCATGCCTGTCCCACCCCTCCTCATTCCCCATGCTTATAGTAGGAGTTGGATCTGCTTTAAGGTCATGTTCAAAATGCTGTGGTCCTGCCCAGACCCCTCCTGCAGTTCTCTGCCCAGTGTAATGCTTTTTTTTTTTCTTTTTACAATTCTTTTTAAGGAAAATGCAAAAAACGAGGAGATGGTTTGAAACTGGAAAATGACCCTCAGGAGGTGAGTCCCCTTGAATGCAGATGTCTGCCTCTCAGCGGGAGGCCTCTAGTCCACCTTTGCTCCGGGGAGAGTAAGTTCTGTGTTTGCTCCTGCTTTAAGGCCGGCCTGGCAGGCGGATGAGGGCAATGTGATCCCTGAAGCTCTTCACAGTTTGGCCTGTGCATTTTATCCTTGCTCATGCCCTCGCCACAACATTCCTACTGTTTTTCATTCTGTCTTTTGGGAATGCCTGCGCCCTGGATGTTTACTGGGCGGCTTTGTACCTGTCTGCGCTTCGTCAGCGGCAGGAAGGTCTTTTGTAACGGCCTTCTTGTGAGACCTGAAGAAGTCACTTGATGCCATGCTCCCTGGCTGCTCCTTAAAACTGGGCTAACAATTATCTTTTAACACCCTTGGAAATAGAGAAGAGGAAGGGGCAACAGAAGTGCTACCTAGCACATAACAGTAAACAGAGTGGCTTCCTCGAGGCTCTTGCACAAATGTGTCTCCTTTGGACCTCCTGCTGTGGAACAAAGTGCTGTACGGGAGACCGTGCTACCACGTTTCCCAAACCACGTTTCGGTTGCCAGTGGACTCCCATGGCATCTCTTTCAAAAGAATTACGATTTAATCCTCAGGAAGAATTCAGTTTAAAGGCCCTTGATCCCACGATCTCTGCTGCAGCTCTTAAAGAGCTTTATTGCTCCCGTTCATGTGCCAGTGCCCTTCGGGGCTCAGTGCACAGGCGGTGTTCTGGTACTCGCTCAATAACCGCTTTGTTGCAATTGATGGGAAAGGCAGCGCCGCTGATACGCAGAGAGCTGAGCACCCGGTTCTGGGGATGGGTCAGGGCAGTGCAGAGTCACCTGCTTCACCAGGGCGCTCAATCTGCGCCGTCAGATCAGGGGAATTTTCTTTAAAAATATTCTCCTGTGGGACAAAGCCTCCATGAGAACAGATATCACAGCTGCTTCTCACTTTGTAAACGTGGGCGCATTTTCCACTTCTGGGAAATGAGTGAGAATTGTTCCATAGGCACCAAATTGGAAGAGGAGCCCTGGAGGCTGACTTGTGACCAGTACTGTACTGTGCAGCATGCAGAGTCCAAATGGTGAAAAATCGGGTACTGAGAAATATTTTCAACCCTGCATGGGAGAACCTCAGTAGGAACTGCGTCCTGGCCTCATGCACCAGAAGCATTAGAAGTACAGTCAATATTTGGGTCGGCAAAGAGACGGTATGGGAGCTGTGTCCTCTGTCCTCCATCCTGTAGCTTATATGGAGTTATCTTGTTGATGCAGGGTCTGGGGGCGCAGGGGAAAGGGGGGGGGGGGGGTTTTTAGCATTTGCTGTCAGACGTTTTTGTCAGAGGCCATCAGGTGCTTCGCATCCTGCTCCTGTGGGCAATGGAGGCTGTGAACCACCAGGTGTCTTGCTTAAATGATGATGACGTGAAATCCATGGATACTGCTTACAGCGGCTGTCGCTTTGGAAAGTTTGCCTGTTCAGCACTGTACCAGTTGTGTTCTGTACAAGCCTGAAGTTGAATCGAGGTATTTACTGCTTCATTTGCCTTTATTTCCTCAGGCAGAGTCAGAAATGGCTCTGGATGCAGAGTTCCTGGATGTCTATAAGAACTGCAATGGCGTAGTGATGATGTTTGACATCACCAAGCAGTGGTAAGACACCTTCAGTGCATGCACCACGGGATTCTCACTCGTTTAGTGAAAACAAATGACTTCTAGACCTCTTGACTCCCAGATGGACTCTGGAGCTGATAACCAGCCTAATGAGTCAAAGCAAGCTTGTATCCCTTAAAATAATAGCTTTATCTTCTGACATGTCTTTTTAAAGCCCTCTCCTGGGCTTGTTTCAAACAAGCTGTCTCCCTGTGGGCTTGTGTACTGCAGTTTCCGATATACTGCTGTCTGAGGCGTGATAATTAGTGCTAGCACAGGTGCAAAGTCTGCTGGGCATGTTACAAACCCGTGCTCTACAGAGCACGAGGGAAAGGGGAATGCTAGTGAGAAATTCCCAGGAAGACCGGTATTAGTAAGGATTATTTAGAAGCCCTAGGCTGCATTCATGTACAGAAATAATGAACTGTTCATTTTGCGCATCTGCTGAAGAGGGTGAGACACATATGGAAGCCAGACTGGAAAAAGGAGGTGGAGAGAGTTCCTGCTTTATGTTTAAGCTTGTGTTTTACAGGCTTGGGATGGGTCAGCGAGCCTGTTGACGGCTGAAGGGAGGGAATCCTTTTCTTCTGCTGACCCCACACAGTTTTGTACGACTGAGGGAAATATTGCTGTAGGAGATGCGCGGTTGCTGGTGGAAGTGGATTATTGAACTCGTCAAGTTGTTTTCGAATAAAGAATGATACAAACATATTTACAGTGAATGTATTTGTCTGAGTGGGGCAAAGAAGCCGCAGTCTCAGAAGGATTTTGGAAAAAAATTTCTTACTTTGGTTTTTTTTTTTTTTTTTCTGTGATTTGTGCATGAAACTGCTCACAGAATGATGCTTCCCACTCACCTGCCTGTCTCTCTCTCTCTCCTGTGGTGCAGGACATTTAACTATATTCTGAGGGAGCTTCCTAAAGTGCCGACCCACGTTCCAGTGTGCGTGCTTGGGAATTACCGAGACATGGGGGAGCACCGGGTCATTCTGCCTGGCGACGTGCGGGACCTCATCGACAACCTGAACAGGTAAGGTGGCACCACGGTCACCAGGCAGGGGAGCAGACCTCGGCTACCCTCCGTCATCAGCCGCGGATGTCTGTATTGCTGCCGTGTTTAAGGTGTACATCGCCTTCATCCCAGTACCCTGTGCCTAGCTTTCGGGCTTTCGTAGCTCCGAGTGTCTCGTACAGCAGCTCCGGTTTACACGATGGGCTCTTTTTCCTTTGAGCTAGGAGCCTGTGCCAGGCAGATTGTTAGCTATATTCGTGGAAACAGCGAGTGCCTGCCAGCATGTGCCTTTCAGAAGTGCTTTTCCCAAGAAGTCATCTTCTTTCTGGATAGTCCTTGTCTTGTGAAAGAATCCTCTCCCTGCAGCACAACTGTTCTCTACTCCAAATAATTCTGCTATAAGAGAGCCAGCTGGTGCAGCTGCCTTCCTTGCTCTTCCTCTGAGAGCATCCCCACGCAGCATTTAGTGGGCACAGCCAAGTCGTACACCTCCCTTGCCAGCCAGGCAAAATTTTCCCTTATGCAGAGATCTGAGGCTCCCTGCTATTTAGTATAAAATAATATTTGTTGTTCAGGATACGATACATTGTACCTTTTTGTGTGGCCCTATGTTTTTAAGGCATTTGTTCATTTTCCTGGTCTCTTTCTTTGTTTCTGCCTGTGTCAGGCACACAGAAATGGTATCCGTTTTAAGGCTTGATTCCATAATGCAATGATTTCTTTACAAGTTCATCTCTATACATGACTTAGCTGAGTTTAATGCCCACTGCTGATGCTTGTGACTTAATGTAGGTCTGTTTGTGATTTTAAAACAAAACCTTCATTGAGAAATGAAGAGCTTGTACAGCTGTAAAACCCCCCGTTTAGTAAACCAGTGGCCCAGTATCTTGGCATAGTATTTCTTAGTCTGGCAGCCCCATGACACTGCAACACAACAACGGCCGCATTCTGCCCCCCTTCAGGAGGAACAAAGTGTGAATTTTGTCTGTAAACAAAATAACGAGTCCCTGGCAGAATGACCTGCTAGCCTGCATTGGGGATTGAGGGGCTGGCTTGTAAATGAGGGTTGGTGGTGGTACGTAGTTCAGCAAGCGCCTCTTCTGTGGGTCTGCAGTCCTCGGCCTTCTCACAGTTTTCTTCTCTCTACCTATCTGGTAGGCCTCCCGGCTCCTCCTATTTTCGCTATGCTGAGTCTTCCATGAAGAACAGCTTTGGCCTCAAGTACCTGCACAAGTTCTTCAACATCCCCTTCTTGCAGCTGCAGGTAAGACAGAGGGTATTTCCCTGGTGTGCCGGGTGGCCGGGACAGATTTCGCTTTCTCTCTCTCTCTCTCTCAAGCGGGAGTTTGGTATTTGGGGTTTCTTTTGTTGTCAAAGGATCCGGAGTAGATTCTTGGTTTCATAAGAGTTGTTAACAAAATTGTATGAGTACCTCAGTGCCTGTGCCTTAAACACGTCTCTGCTTGCGAGAGGACTCTTCTCTGCTGCGTTCGCAAACACTTCTGGAGAAAGGCTCCAAGGCGATGAATAACACTGGCAAGGCAACTGCATCCAGTGGTGTAGGTACCAAGTCAAAAATGTCACGTACGCACATTTGTTAAACTTTGTACTTAAATTCTGTTCCATTCAAACTCAGATGAGAAGAGATTTGGTCCTGAACCGACCAGCTCAGGGACAACTGTTTGCTGAAGGTCTTTGCCCTAGCGGTAACTGATCTGCTTGGATCCTATGCCCATAGATCCAGGTCTCGTATTTCCTTCATAATTGAGGCTTCTTGGGCGGACTGAGCGGAAAGGCAAAGGCTGAATGGGCGTGAAAGGGTGGAATTCTCAGCTGTGGTCCGTTAGAAGAGGACCTTTTGGGGTGATCACACCGAGTCCTTTGGGATCAGCATCATACGCTTTTTGGGGGTACATATGATGTTGTATCATTGTTCTTTTGGATGGAAAAAACCAGGCGGTTGATCTCGATTTTCTTTCACCAATAATTGAAATGTCTGTGTGTATTTTTATACGAATAATCCCCACGGAAATGCTAGTTCAGAAGAAGCTCGGATATATTAGTGGATGTTACCATGTCCTCAGGCTGCAGAGCGGAAAGAACCAGGATAAGAAAATTGAATGTATAAAAACCCAGTGAAACAAGCCAAACAATAAATTTTTGTGGAGGAAGTTGTAGAAATCGGAGATATAAACCCAACTTGCTGCTCAGTGGAGAAGATTGAAGTCTACCAGCACGGTTAAATGGTTGATTAAATGTTTGGTTTTATAACCTTGGCTCCTATGGTAAAGTGATGTCTTGTGGAAACCATGCAGAATAATTAGTTCCCTGGTTACTTTTGTCGGTTTTGTAGATCTCCCCTTTTTTTCCTCAAAGAGATGTTGACAAGAGACAAGGATATTAGCAGAGCCTTCCTGCCAGATTTGTTTCTGAAAGCTGCTGTTAATGATACTGTTAATAATCAGGATGTGCGATCGTTTTCCGAGCTATAGTTACAAGCGGGAAATACCGAAGCACTCGTAGTGTCGGGTTTGCTTGGAAGCAGCTTTAGGATGTGAGTCTTAGGGGACCTTTCATTTAAATGTGCTGTGTATAAGTAAACATGATCTATTAATTCGAGACTGAAAGCAATTAGGACACTTAGGTAATTGGCCCCAAAGCCAGAGAACTTCTTGGACAAGTCTTGGTCTTCAGGGAAATAGAAAAAATAAATCTGTTATAACCTTTAGCTGTTTGGAGAGTCCAGTGACAGTTGCTTAGGAGAGGTGAGGGCGATGTGGTGACCAGCCCACGTTTACTCTCCTGTGTAGTGGGCTCGGGGTAGCCCTGGGGCTAGTCCAAAAGATGCAGGTGCCACATAATGAGACTCCCAAATCCCGTGTTTTTCATGTAGTGTAATTAAATAATTCAACACTGCAGAAACAAACCTGAAAAGACTTCTCATTACAGTTTAATTCCCAAAACGTGCAAGAGGAGAGTTGGGTGGGCACATGTAAACCGTGCTTGTAAAGATGTTTGCTCTGTTCCTCATACCTCGACACAGGAGGTGGCCGTTGAGGTTGTCCTATGCCCGTCATTCAAAGAGGCAGTGATCAGACCATAGCTGCCTGGCTTTTCCTTTAAAACAGCAATGCCAAAACGGATTCCTGCAGTTCTGTGCTCATACAGGGATTGCGGACGGGGGCTTTTCTGTGCATTCTGAAAAAAATCACAGCGTAGGGTCCAACGTGGAGATGGCTTGTTTCATTTCCCTCTGGTGTGCGAGAGATCCCTGGCCTTGCCATTCTGTGCCAAGGCAGGCGACACTGCAAATTTGGAGGCTTTTGGTTGCTTTCCCCAGGCTTTGGGGCTTTACTTGATGCCAAACTTCAGCCAAGATGTGCTGCACTTAGTTTTTTCCAGTGCCGTTTGCATTTGCGCCACGGAAGAGCTTCGTGCTGCTCCGCCGGAGCTGCTGCTGGGTGGCTCTGGGCGTTTTGCTGCTCCTGGAGACCCGCTGGGAGTCTTGGCTTTGAGCGCACGGGGAGCCAGGGCTGGCCCCGCGGCGCCTGACTAACCCCCAGCGCAGCACGATGTTAACATTTATAGGAAAATCACAGCTAGACTTAATTCCTAAAGGTTCTGCTTATACCTTCCGAGAGACTTGCCAGTAACAGGCTCCAGAAAGGAGTCGTTTCCCTGGTTCTTTGGTGCAAAGCGGGGTTAAGGGAGAGGAATGCTACCAGGTATTAAATGCACCTACGATTTGATCGGTCTCAGTCGACCTCTGAGGCTTCTCGGCGTTCCTCAGCCTAGCCTCCCGCAGCTCTCGAGGGGAAGAGCTGTTCGCTGCACGTGAGATTCCACCCTGTCCTTTAGCAGAGCTGGTGCTCAGTGCCTTGGGTTGAAGTTGCGCGTTCCTGCGTTCGGCTTACGTTCGTGCATCTTGCATGAAGAAAGCGGTGGCTGAAATTCATACCCCCGGCATAGAGCACGTTCCCTCTAGCAGCCCGGGCTCTTCAATTATTTATCGGTTCCTTTCCAGGGGGAGGAGTGTCGAACCTGAGAATGCCGTTTAGCTGTAGGTATTGCTGGTGGCCCACATAATGTGCAAATGGGATCAGGTCAAGCGGGCCATCGGATGCTGCGCTGGAAGGAGACAGAATTCTGCAGACAGCTGAAATGGCCAGGAAGCACTTGCAAGTGGCATTCAGCCAAAGCATTGCTCTGATTTATTCCCTTCTTTTGGGTCACTGCTAAAAATAAGCTGTTTCTTTAATATTTTAATACCAGCATGGTAAAACAGAATTTATTTTTTAAGTATTTGGAAGTCCGTTATTAGTGGTGAATTTTTACAAAATTGAATGCAACTTTCTCTTAAGTAAATCTAAGTTCTTAATTTACTGTAATTGTGAAAATTGAAATAAATACAACGCTGGTATGTGTCTTACTGCCAAAGCATGAGGGAAGGCAAACCACTTATTTAATAAAAGCCATCATATAAGTGCCTAAGGTAGGCATTGGAGAGCAGTGTCCCTTCTGTCTCTGTTCATGCAGCTGATTTGCTCAGCATTTATTTCACTCATCTTAGGAAACTGAGGACAAAGAAGCAGCAAACTTGCTCTTTTTGGTCTCATCTTCGCTTACACTGTATGAATAACATAAAAGGATGAAATCCGTTACTTCGAAAATCTTGAATTTCTTGAATTCCAAAGTCTAGAATTACTTTGAAAATCTCGATTAGTACTTCTGTTTAGTGTAGCAAGTTTAAATATGTATAGCATGTTTTGCTGAAACTCTCTTGTCTCTATACCACAAGAAAGAGAATTTGAGTTAACCGAGTTCATAATTCTTTGTGTACATGTTAATTGAAGTCAAGTTTCCATCTGCATAGAGCTTATGAATATGATGAATAAAAATTACCTCGCAAATGAAATATGGATCACTGCAAGCTCTTAACACAATGACAAAGGTAAAAACGAAGACTCTAAATGCCTTGGAAGCAGTAAATTAGCTTAAATGATCATAGAAGCTCTTAAATTTCAAGAAAGACTGCATCTTCCAGTGAATTAACATGTTTCAATGTTATCCACCGCTATGAATCACCCGCTCGTATAATACAAAATAAAAATGACTTAAGCCTTGCTTGCTGGTTTTTGAATTTGATATAAATTTGTAGAATTTGATATAAATCAGCCTGCTCCGCGGAGGGCTCAGGCTGTGCCCTGACTGCTCCCCTGGGCAGCGTAGCGCCCTGTGTTTTATATCAGGCAGATGAGTTACTTGCTTTTTAAATTTGTACACTTTCTTGATAGCTCCAATGTTGTCATGTCTATGAAACTATATTGTCAATAGTATAATGCAGGTAGAGACTGAACGCTTTATACAAATGTCTGTCTTCCCGTAGGGATTTTATTCGGTGAATTACGTAGTAGATTTCCTTTTGTGCTTTTTACTCTAGTGGGCGCTTTCTGCAGTAAGCACATGTGTTGTCGAACACGGAATTAAAAATTCACCACCCTTATTGATGCTAAACTTCAAAAATATTTGTCATAGTAGAAAGCTTAAATGTAGGTTGAGGATAAGGCAGTTAGAAAAGCAAAAACCTTTGCCGTTTGGAGGAAGCCTGGGGTTTCTCCTCTGTCTCCTCCTGTCTGGGCGGCGGTGCCGCTTGGCAGCCCGCGGCACCGGTGGGCCCCGCTTTAACGGGCGCTGCGCAGTGCCGTGAGTCATCCGTCCTGTCGCAGCGCCGGCTGTCCCTGCTTCCTCGGCCGTCTAGTACGTAGGCAGCGGGAGAGGAGGACTGATGCTTTCAGGCACTGAACATCGTGACTATTGACTCCAGAATTGGGTGTGTACACTGACTCCCGTGTCCCTTGCTCAGAGCCTTCCCAGGAGGCAAGCGGGGTGCCGGTGCTGGGAGCCCGGCCGGTGCCGGTGCCCCGCTGTGTGACAGCTGGCCACGTCCGAGCGGAGGGGAGGGGGCTCCGGTGCAGGGATTTCTACCGTGGAGCGGGGCGGTGGCCGCAGACCGCTCTGGTCTTGGCCTGGGGATCCTGAATCGTGTCTCTGCAGAAACGGGTGCTGTGTTAGCTCTGCGGCTCGGGGCTGCCGCAGTGCCGGGCAGACGGGTGCGGAGGCTGGTGCTGGATCCGCTGTGGGCGAGCCTTTGGAGCTGGCCGTGCCCGTGCAGTCTCAGCGTAACGCGGGTGGTTATTGATCCCTTCTTGTTGCCATCCGGGCTATCCGGAGGAGCGCCCCATGACCATTTGCAATTGATTTTCAGCCTTTTAAGCCAGTGCTTCCCCTCAGCTGAGGTTTTTGCTTGGATTCTGTTGGAAATGTGGAAAGGGAAGGACTGAATTAAGCTACCCTGTGTTACATTAGTGAAGCGAACTCACTTTATTGCACATTTGAAATGGGCTGGAGTGTCTGTCCCCCATCTGCGGGGCAGCAACTGAAGGCAGAGGGGCAGTGACTGCTAAAATTTCACTGAGTCGACAGGTTGTGCTCACTCATCTACCCTGGCAGTAAAAAGCAAATTATTGTGAGGTTTTGCATCAGCTGGGTCCTACTTACAGGGGGACTTCTTTAGCACAGGGAAAAAATCAGAAAGAATGGGTTGCACAGCTGTTCTCCGCAGGAGTTGATACTGTTCTGCAAATGCAACTGGCGATGCTCTGTCTGAAAATCACACATTATTGATCTATGCTGGAGTATAGCTTGCAGAACGAATGACTTTCTTACACACAGACTTTCTGCATTAATGTACTTTTGCTACTGCTTCAGCTTCCCTTTGTGCTTCTGTATTTAAACTGAACACCGTGAGAGGGCCCAAAGCTCCTGTTTAATTCATTGCCGTGGGTAGAGTGGTGACACGAGATCTTGCGGCGCCCTGCGAGCGCGCAGGGATCTGTTACAGTGACCCTTCCTGCTCAGACCCGGCTTGTTTTCCTTTCTTCAGAGGGAGACGTTGCTGCGGCAGCTGGAGACGAATCAGCTGGATATTGATGCAACTTTGGAGGAGCTGTCAGTGCAGCAAGAGACAGAAGATCAAAACTACGAACTGTATGTCATTGAGCCATCTTTTCTAACGGTTTTGTTGCAGTCTAGGTGTCACACGAATGTTGGGCAGCCCCAGCCATGGCATGTGGCCGGACTGAGGGTCCAGTGAGTGACATGTAGGGTTTCTTTAGATCTTATAAAATGTCACTTTTAAGTGGCGTCACCTGACAGAGAGCATGCGCTTGGGGATCCCTGTGGAAGGGTCTGGTTCCTACGGGCACGTGATCTACGGGAGGGCAGCGGAGGTGGAGCTGGGCGGCACGCGCTGAAGGGGCCGTGGGTCGGCGTGTTGCAGCCTCTGATGCTCAAAGGGGACGTTTTCCCTCTCTCTCCGGCTCAGAACACAAGTTGGTTCCTCCTCCTCTGGCTATGGCATTCCT